CACTCATTCACTAACACACTCACACACACACACTCACACACACACACACTCACTCTCTCACACACACACTCATTCACTAACATACTCACACACACTCTCACACACTCATTCACCTCACACACACACTCACTGTCTGTCTCTTGGCGTCTCATCTTTCTCTTTGTTTACTAAGGCATTGCAGTTGCCATGGAGACCAAGGCCTTTCCTTGTTTTCAACTTCAACCATTTCTCTATGCTGGTGACTGAGAAAAAACGCAGGAGTTGCGACACACACACACACACACTCTTAAGTGCAGGCTCTTATCAGACATAAGGCTGCTGAATGATGTTCTTGTGGACCTTGAGACGAATCTATGAATCAGAATCTGCAGTGAGTGCCCATAATGTTTACAAAATCATGTTGTAAACATTATACACCATAATTATACATATTAAACACCATACACCATATTAAACACCATAATGTTTACAATGATGATGATATATATATATTTATATACAGTTGAAGACAAAATTAATTAAACACACACACGCACAAGCACACGCATACACACACACACACACACACACACACACGTGTTAAACTCCACAGACTGATGCTCAGGTTGAGTGTAAATGAGCACGTGACTGCGGTAACCTTCGTGGATGTTTGTGGTGTGGTCACTCCCAGCAGAGCGAAGGCCATTTTACTGATGACCAGATCACAGATCAGCTGCCGGTCCTCCTCCACATGCTCTCCGATCAGAGGCATCGAGCTGTCCATCACCTGACCAAACACACACAGCTCAGATAAACTTAAACACACACACACACACACACACACACACTCAGGAAACCAGCTTTAATTCCATCTGAACGAAATAAAGTGCATTTCCTGCACTGTCAGACGTTTCCTCCAGCCATCTCAAACATTAGGGATTGATCAGAGGCATCGAGCTGTCCATCACCTGACCAAACACACACAGCTCAGATTTACCCTCCAAAGTAAAGGAAAATATAAAATATAAAATTACGCTGCATACAAATGAAGCCACGAGGGTTGTTTTGCACTGTGAAAAACATGAAAGTTGCATGACATTCCACGCAGCAGGGTTAGAACAAACATGTCTTTATGTGATCTTATTTTATTTTTATTGTGTACGTATTTCATTATTTTCGTTTTCTCTCTCTGTCTGTCTTTTGTGGATTTTCTGGTGTGTCTTATGTTGCTCTGTTGTTATTTGTTTTGGAGCGAAATGTGAAAATTGGAATAAAAATAAAATAGTTTCATGACAAATTAAACTTTAGATTCTTATTACTTCAATAAAAAAAAACAGATAAATAAATAAATGAATGAATAAATAAATGCTTATGTAATATAGTCATGAAAATGATCCTGTGTGGTGAACAATTATTTATTAACAGCATTTAAAATCCTATTAAAAGCATTCAAAATAAAGTGCAAGAAATGCAACTGTGATGTTTACATGAACATATCAGTGTTATTTTAGCATTATTGATATAATACTATCGTTTTTGTTAATATTTTGAATTTGATTTGATTTTATATATACTGTTTTTAATTTAATTTTAGTTAAAATTTTGTTGTATGTTTTTGTCATGTTTAGTAGGTTTTTTTTAATGTTTTTTTTTTTATTTCACTTTCAGTTTTAGTTATTACAGGAGAAATTAATTAAAACGAGAAATGATGGCTTGGAAACTAGCTGTAAAAAAATGTTAAATAAATTTAACCAATTAAGTTTTTTTATATTTTATTTCAGTTAACATTCATTTTGTTTCAAGTAATGATTTTTTTATGGCTTTAGTTTTAGTTAATGATAACGACCCTGCTTACAGCTGTAGTTTACAGATGTGTTTTACATTATTTGAAATTAAACATTTTATTTTTTCACAGAAAACAAAGCTGATGGGCTGCAGACTGCAGTGATCCTCTGCGTCCACTAAGAGGCGCCAGTGACACACACACACAC